AAAAAAAAAAAAGAAAGCATAGTATTTTAACTTTTTGAATTTTAGATCTCTGCAAGCTAAAAAAATTTAATTGTAGTGGGTATAAAGCAAAAAAAGGGAATCAGCTTGCTAATCACTAATGATTCAGGATGTAATTCAAAAGACACTGACCTTTCAAAAAATCAAAATGATTCAGAGAAAAATTAAGATTCAACCATCGATAAAATGGCAGGAAAAAACCCTTTATTTCCTTTATTGAACATTATGTTCACTATAATTTTATATCAATTTAATGACAACCTATTTAAAAAATCTAAAATATTTAAGGTCACTTATGCATGCAGATGTACATTTTCTGAAGCAAGGACTTCCTAGCAATTCACATTTCACCGAAACTCCCTGCAACATTTATGTCAGCTCAATTTAATGTCAACCAATGCAGTCATAAGTAACTAGAAACAGGTTAACATTAAGGTACTCAAGAAGGAAAACAGACTAGACAAGAAATCTATAGCTCATATAACACAATATTAAAATGGGGCATGATTATGATCAATTGATAGGGTTACAAAAAATAAAAAACAATTTTCCATTCCTTCTCTATGAAAATAATTATGCGCCTTAGTTTTATATTGGCAAGTTGTAAAAAAAAAAAAAAAGTTACAATATTGTATATGCTGTTTGCTAATTTTCAATGTTTATAAGCAAACTATAGTAAAAACATAGAAGAATTACAGTTAAGGAAGAGTACATAAATGTTACAAACTCTGACTTTTTTTTTTTTTTTTTTTTGGGGGGAGACAGGGTCGTGCTCTATCACCCAGAATAGAGCACAGTGGCGTGATCCTGGCTTACTGCAATGTTGACCTTCTGGGCTCAGGCAATCCTCACACCTTAGCCTCCCAAGTCGCTGGGACTACAGTTCAACTAATTTTATTTTTTGTAGAGATGGGGTCTCACTATGTTGCCCAGACTGGTCTCAAACTCCTGGGCTCAAACGATTCTCCTGCCTTGGCCTCACAAAGTGTTGCGGTTACAGGTGTAAGACACCATGCCTGCTCACAAACCCTGCTATTACAAAAACAATGAAGTTATACACCAGCAAAAGTAAAGGCAGGAGGACAGGTGAATGGTGTACTTTTATATAGTAAAGAGCTAAAGTTGTCAGGTTGAGACAGATATTATTTAGAGTTTTAAAGATAACTACTAGAAGGGGCCGGGCGCGGTGGCTCACGCCTGTAATCCCAGCACTTTGGGAGGCCGAGGCGGGTGGATCACGAGGTCAAGAGATCGAGACCATCCTGGTCAACAAGGCGAAACCTCGTCTC